CTGCCTCTGAAGAAACTATGACTGCATGAGTCTTTTGGGGGGCATCTAGACACAAATCATAACAATAACAATTTTAAATAGAGATTTTAAAAAATTATTTTTAAAACATGACAATTTTAAGAGCATAGGCTTTTGAAAGGTTTTAAAAACTGGCCTGAGATGTAGCTCAGTGGTGCAAGGACCTGCCTTGCAAGCAGAAGGTCCTGAGTTCAATTCCTAGCACCAAAAACAAAAAAGAAAGGATTTAAAAATAATTTGTGTTATGTATCATTTTTTCATTCAGCGGTATCAAAACTACCTCTGGTAACAACAGTCCATAAATCCCTAGCGCATTCTAATCATTTTTCTGGTTGTTTTATTTTCTCTTCTTTTTAATTTGAGGAGCAGAAAATATCCTTTTTGAAATCATTTTAAGAAAAGTTTTAATGTATAGCTTGGGGATGTTTGGGAGAAATCAAGGAGCTCTGCTGCCTAGCGATGATAATAGAAGTCAGTCCCGGGCCTCTCAAGAGTTCTTGTGGGCTGCCCAGGACAATGAGCTAAACGATGAAGTCCTCAAATCCTGAGAAAGGGAGCATCTGACGGCTGCCCGGATTCACCCAGCACCTGCGCCTTCAGCTAATGTGTCCTTGTGTGTGCTGGCATGGGCTGTGCTTCACGTAACCGCATCAGCAGGCACTAAACAGCTCGTGTTCATTGAACTTATCAAATGCTTAGTAATTAATAGAGACCAGGGGTAAATACTACAATCAGCCACACAATGCAGACATGCTTCCCCAGCACCTACAAAGAGGAGAGTCTTATGACCTATTAGGTAAGGGTAGATCAGGGAATCTCTTCATGACCAGTTCCAAGGCAGAAAGGTAGAGGAAGGCTGGAGTTCCTATACCCCGCCTAGAGGAAGAGAAAGTCTAGTTTCTATGGATTGCTCTGGACAGGGACCGGGGGTAAGAGCCAAAAAAAAATATGTACCATAATATCATACCTACCCTTCTCCTGGGAATATTTTTACTGATGTAGTAATTTTTTTTTTTTTTTTAATTTGTTGAGACAGTGTCTTGCTATGCAGTTCAGACTGGCCTTCAGCACACTTTGTAGCCCAGGCTGGCCTTGAACTAGCGACAATCCTCCTACCTCAGCCTCCTGAGTGCTGGGATTATAAGTGTGTGCCACCATGCTCGGCCCAGTAATTTTTTATTCCTATCCTCACATGTGTCCTTAGAAATCTCAAACCATGTATATGTGCACCTAAGTCAATATTAATACTTTTCTTCACTAGTTTGGTTTACACAGGTCACCAGGTGTGGTGGCCCAGGCCTGTAATCCTAGCACTCGGGAGGCCCAGGCAGGAGGATTGCCAGGAGTTCTTGGCTACATAGTGACCTCAAGGACAGCCTGAACTACACAGAGAGATCCTGGCTCAAAACTATGTGTATATGTTACACAGGTACCCAGCCATTGTGCTAAGATCCTGACCATGAAGCCTAGCAACAGTGCTTCAAGTGTGATGCACGTGTACCACCTCCCAGGGTGAATGTAATCATGATGTGCTGTACTGATAAACATGAACTAATAAAAATAAGAATTAAAAGATTGACAAATATTATTAAAATATAAAGAAGGCTGGGGATATAACTCAGTGGCACAAGCGCCTGCCTAGCAAGTGCAAGGTCCTGAGTTTGATTCTCAGTACCAAAAAATAAAAAATAAATAAATAAGTAAAATATAAAGATACTAATCAATTTTGTACGGTTGATTTCATAGTTTGTTAACTGTAAATTCATTATTTATTATTAAAACAACTAAACTATATGCATAGATTTCTTGTTGGGCTTGATGGTAGTGCTGTCCTAAATTCAGTCGTACTTGAGCTGTACCACAATTTTTACACAATATTTACTTTTAAATTAGATTTCAACTTTAGTATAAACCACAAACATTTGCATGACCTAAATATAATCATTCAGATAGAAAACAGTTGCATTCAAGTAATTGCTCAATGTCTTTGAGTCTCTAAGCTCTCTACATTTGGACAAGGTTTCCTTTTTTTTTTCCTGATACTCATATCTATTTCAGATTATTGACGTAGCAGTAGTGATTTTTCTAGTTAATTTTTCACTAAAGAATGTTATCCTGGTGTTGACAGTGCAGGAAAATGCTGCCTGCCTGATAGGGAGAGTCAGCTCTTTGTGCTCTTAGCAGGTAGCTGAGTAACAGATATTCTAATCTGGGCATGGTGGTGCACGCCTGTAATCCCAGCACTTGGGAGGCTGAGGCAGGAGGATCGTTGCCAGTTTGAGACCAGCCTGGGCTACAAAGTGAGCTCAAGGCCAGCCTGAGCTGCATAGCGAGACCCTGTCTCAAAAAGACCAAAAAAAAACCAAAACAACAACAACAACAACAAAAACAGATATTGTAAGTGTTTGCTGTCTGAGCCAGTTATCTCTAGTTATCTTGGTCTGAGCACTTTTTTTGTTCCAGTTCCCACCTGAACATCACACTCTTAATCACATCATCCAGTCAGAAATCTGTGGTTTAACTGGCCACGGTGGTACATGCTTATTATGGTTGGTGTCTAGATGTGCCCCCATCCTCATGCACTTTTAGATGGGGATTTTTTGGAGGTAGCTGAATCTAGATTGTGTGACTGACTTGTAGTACAGTGCTGGGATTAAAGGTGTGAATGCTACACAGGGTCTAGGGCAGGTACCCTACATACAATATAAGGGACAGGAAGAGGCTCATTCTCTCTCTCCCGTGATGCTTTTGCTGTCTTTTGCCATCATGAGCTGTTGCCCTCTGTCACGTGCCACCCTGCCTTGGAGCCAGCCAAGTATGGACTGGAAGCTTCACAAACTGTGAGCTAAAGAAACCTTTCCCCCTTTAACTTCAATGTTGGGTATTTTTGTCTCAGCAGCGAGAGAAGTGACTGAGACAATGCCTGTACTCCCAGCTACTTGGGAAGGTATAGCAAGAGGATTGTGAGGGGGTTTTTTTGTTTGTTTGTTTTGTTTTTTTTTGCTTTTTGAGACAGGGTTTCACTATGCCGTTCAGGCTGTCTTTGAATTCACTTTGTAGCCCAGCCTGGCCTCAAACTCACAGTGATCCTCTTGCCTCAGCCTCCCTCCAGAGTGCTAGGGTTACAGGCATGTGCCACCACACCCAGCAAGATTGTGAGTTTAAGGCTAGCCTGGATTACATCAATGCCCTGTCTCAAAAAATAGAATAAATTTGTGGCTTCAAAGATGGTAGAAGGTTGTAGGGTGGGGGAAAGAATATGTTGCCTGATAATTATCAGATTTCACAAGCAATCTTCTCATTGGAATCATTTAATAAACTTTTTAATTCTTTTCTAAAAAACATTTTTTTTTTCTGAAAAACATTTAAAAAATCTTAAAGACACTGAATGTCAGCTTTCTGCCGCTGTGACCAAATACCTGAGAAAAACAGCTCCAAGAGTTTGCGAAGGTGCAGTCTGTAGCTGGCCCAGTTAGGCTGCGCCTCCCAGTCCCCCTGAGCTCGTGGTGTCTCGGGGTTGACCCTCTTGATGGAGTCAGGGCCTCCGGGTCCGATAAGGTCCTCAAATCCCAACTGGCCGCTGTGCCTTCAACACAGCGAGGCATTTTGAATCCCAGCCGTAACACACAGAAAAGCAGGTAGTATAAGTCTTCGAATGTGTATTACGTTTTTTCCTTATTTTGTAGGTTACATATCAATTGACGCCATGGAGAAGTTCCTCGGGGAGTTGCATGACTTCGTTCCCGGAAGCTCAGGCTACCGGGCGTATCACGTTCAGGATGAAATCAGTATGTCCGCTATAAAAAGCAGATTGAAAAGGAAATGTTAGGTTAAACTGGGCATTTATTTCTGTAAAATGTTACCAGAGAGATGCATACACTGCATGGGGTAGAGAAGTGGAGGGATCTCTCTCTCTCAGCGCGTGCCTGTGGAACACTCAGAATCGTTTTGTCTCTGGGTTTTGACATTCGTCCTGGCCCTTTCCCCACCGTGTAACACGGTGACAAATTCTGAGCGGACAGATTGTCACTGAGACATAGTCTGTGAGCGCCCCCTCTCCCGTTAACATTCTGTTTTTTCTAGGTTCAATGCTATGAATGCAAGGTTTTACGATTCTGATCGTTTTATTTTGATTTCAAAAGTTAGAATGCTATAGTTGAGTTCTGCATTTCTGTGCCTGACTCGATATGTGTGGAGTAAAACATCTTGATAATTCATTCTTCGCGTGTGGCTGGTTTCTGACGCTGAGAGCCTCGGAAGTGACTCGGTGCAGACAGCTCTTCGTTAGTCCTCTGAGATGGACCCGAAAGGCGCCTTAGACCACTGCGCCGAACAGGGCAGGGCTTAGCGAACACGGAGGTGAACAAATCTACTGTGTCCACGAGGAGATAAACACGCTGTCACCCGTCAGGTGTGCCGTGTCTCTGGCGATGAGGTCTCCCTGTGGTGCCCAGGCTGGCCCTCGTCTCCCAAGTATCGGGAACGATGGGCACACGCCACTGCGCCCAGCTTTCTGATGTCCTGGCGTCTCGATGTGGTGATTTCACGTCGTCACTCACGTGGTCATGCTTTGTAGAGTCTCGTGGGCTTATTACATTTGGGAGACGCACACAACCTGGTTTGCAAAGCCATCCTCTTGTTAGAATTGCTGTTCCTTCTGGAAGCACGCAGTGGCTGTGGACTACAGGAAAGGCGCACTTTCATCAGTGCTGGGTGACGTGGACATCTCGGGACGCTCGCCCTGACATTTCTTGCGTGACTCAAATTTAATAATACAGAATTGTGGGCCCGGGGCATACTCCGCCTTCTCCCTCTGGCCAG